GCAGCTGAAATCGAGACTCATCAGACCAGGAAGGTTTTTCCTTCTTCTGTTGTCCAGTGTTAGTGAGCCTGTGTGAACTGTAGCTTCAGCTTCCTGTTCTCAGCTGACAGGAGTGGCCCCCGGTGTGGTCTCCTGCTGCTGGAGCCCGTCTGCTTCAAGGTTCAATGTGTGGGTAGAACCTGGTGACCTGCTTCACTTCATCAGAGAGGAGGGAGCTGCTGATTTGTAGTGAGGGGTTTCATTCTGGCTCCAACAACCAGTCGCCCCCCAGTACTGAAGACAGTCATAATGAGCTGAAGCTGCAGAGCAGGGTCTCTTTTTCTGAGGATATTAGTAGCCATAGTCATATTATTCTAATTTGGGGGGGTCCTTAGTTCCCTCCGGTACCCCTCAGACTGTCGTGAGTTAAAATGTTAAAATGTTCTGCATCGTTTGAATTATTGTCTATCCTACAATTTATAAATCATCTATATAATGTATGTAATATATAACATGTGTCCAATCCAACGAGTCCACTAAAACTTCTAAATTGACTTTCAATCGGCCCAGCAGGAGTTGAGATACGACCACTTCTGGTTGAAAATGTCAGAAATGCATCCAGCTTCCTCAATAACCTGCGAAACCACTTCAGTATTGTCCAAATCGGCCAAGCAGTTTCTGAAATATTGTACATATGGTGATTATGCAAATTCATGGAATTTCATGATCACACATATGTGATCATGCCAATTGTCCAACATATGCAGGTTAGCATCTGGCAGTTTCTGAATGTTGGACATTTCTAACATGAAACCTTTCTGGGTTCACGTTGCTGACACGAAGAGTAGGATACAGGCGTTTCCCCAGTTTACAGGGAACCAACGAAGAAGAAGAGCAGCTGAAACTAACCAGCACTGAACACAGCTCTCTGTACTAAGCTACTTTTTATTTGATACCTGTCTGTCTGTCTCTCTCTGTCTGTCTTCATCCAGTCCACGAGTACCTCCAGTTCTGTTCGTCCTACAGCGCTCAGTCAGCAGCCAGCTTCTACCAGCGACCTTTGACCTCCAGTCAGCGATACAGTAACAGGCAGCGAGAGGTGGAGACTGCTTACCAGCTCACACACCTGGAAACACACCTGGAAACGCACCTGGACACAAACACTCAAGACTCCGCCCCCTCACCTGAGCTGCCTGCTCCAGTTCTACCACCAAAGAAGAGACTGCAGGTACACGCAGGTTGACTGATTGACGCCTACAGCCACGATCCTCCAAATACAAAAAACATCTAAAGGATGAAAACAATCATTTCACCTGTGGTCCTTCGGCTCAGGTGTTCCTGACTGATATTTATATTTCACGTTAAGGCGTACTGGAGACCTGCAAGCTGCTGGGAGGCTTTTAATTTGACACTTTGAACTTTAAACAAAGTGTTGAATTCATTTAAAGGCAAACAACGAAAGGTGAACAAATGAATTAGTTCATGAGGAAAGAGAAAGTGAGACGGTCACCTGATTTCATTAAATTTTCTGCCGTCTGTTTCTGACTTTCATTTAGAAATCAGCAGAATAATGTCCAAGTGTTTGATTCACAGAAACAAACACTTGGACATTTAGTGTCTCGAGGATTGATCAGAAACACAGAGGAGATGTTGTTTCTGCAAACATCTGGTCTGTAATAATATATCTCCAGAGGCCTGTTATCAGTAGCCATCACCCTGTGCTCTAACGACTCGCTCTCTTTGCTAATCAAAGTTTATAATTTTTAAAGGCTGATTTATCATTAGAAAACCCTTAATCAATCACATCGTGCTGATCAAAGAAGATATAAAACTGGCCTTCTTTAGACTTGTTGAGGATCTGGATCATCAGCAGCTGTTGATTCTATTAGATGCTCAAAACAGCCAGAAACACAGAACTTCCTTCTGAAGCTCGTCAGTTTGTTTTTGTTCTGAGAAATGAAGCTGTTCCTTTATGTTTGGTTAACATGTCAATTAGTCTTAATCAGGTTTCAGCCAGTTATTTTAAACCCCAATTAAAGCTGGCGACCGATCTGACATGAACAGTTTCAGGCCAATCTCTAATCTCGCTGTCCTTTCAAAAATCACTAGTTGCCAACTTAAATCACATTTGGACTCACACAATGTTTTAAATACAGACAAAGGTTTCGGATCAGGGCACAGTACAGTAAACACCACTTGTGGACCATGATTACTTGGTGCTGGCATTGGATGCAAAGCGGCTAAATGGCTCCACTTTATCTGACCAGTTGTCCATAGATAAGGTTAAACATGCTGATGACATGTCCAATCCAGTCCTTGTTACGAAGGGTGTTCCACAGTGATCAGTTTTGGGATCTTTGCTTTTTCTAGTTTGCATTAATAATGTTTGTCCCAAGTTCAAATTCTGTAAGTATCAATCTGTATGCAGATGATGCAGTTATGTACTCTTGTGCCCCCACAGCAGATACCGCCTTGAATACCCTGCAAAATGCTCTATCAGATCAGAAACTGCTTTAAAACTCGATCAAAACTACAGTTATGAATTTTTCCCCTGATCAGGTATGAAGGTAGAACCTGTCTGAGCCTGGTCTGGATTCAGTCCGTTAATAATTACAAATATTTGGGCATTTGGTTGGACAAAAACTTATATTTTCAGCCAATAGAAAGAAAAGATGGCTTTTTCTCTGCAACAAAATGTGGGGGTGGTGATGGACAGTGGATAAGACATGCATTGGTGTGAGAGACCCGGGTTCAATCCCCCACTGTGACCCATCCACCAGTGTGTCCTGTACAAGACACTTAACCCCTAGTTGCTCCAGAGGCGTGCAACCTCTGACATATAGAGCATTTGTAAATCGCTTTTTATAAAAGCGTCAGCTAAATGAACAAATGTAATTTTAATTGTAAAAATGATGATAATTAACCAATTATCAAACTGACTTCTGTTGAAAATGGATTAGCTGATGAATCGTTAAATGTTGTTGTAGTGACTGACTGAGTTTACGGTACCAGCCACCCTCACTGGTTTCAGCAGGACTTTGTTAAGACCATTTGGTCTGTTATTATTCAGCCGTTATCAACCAGCCCAGTCATTATCAATTAGCGATATGATGCTGATCATCAGCTGATCATGTCAGTAACAGTTTGATGACGTGAGCGAGCAAACGGTCCACGCCCTGTGGGACCTGGTCTTTGGTCTTGTATAGGGGAGGTTAGAATGTGTCCATCAAAAAGCTTCATCGTGTGACGATGATGAAGAAGCAGGAGCGCTGTGACCTGATCACTCTTATTGATCACCTGATCTGTTTGTGTGGTCATCAGGATCCAGCTGAGAGCGACGATCAGAATGAGGAGACGCAGCGCAGAGACAGGTGACACACACACACACACACAGACAGGTAACACACACATTTACACTGGAGCACCCAGTGACGCCGCTCCGCTCTGCAGTTCTCAGGGTCTCCAGCAGGAGGCGGAGCCCGGCAGGAGGAGCAGGGAGCAGCAGGATGAGCAGCAGGAGCAGGAGGAGGTGTTACTGACCAACCACAAGGAGATCCTCCACAGAATCACAATGAAACCTGAGGTACGGTCCTGACCCTGACCTCTGACCTCTCTAGAGCGCCTCACCTCTAACTGATCTCTGTCTGTCTCAGGAGGAGGAGGGGCCGGATGTGAAGGCAGCCTCACCTGACATCCTATTGGTCTACGCCACAGAGACGGACAAGAGCCCCGGTGAGTCCTCGCCTCCCCTTAGCTGTGGTAGAGATTTGTTTTTCTTGTGTGAAATTTTCACAGCAAATATTCACATCTGCTTCAGAATCAGAAAAAGAAGCAGAGCGTCTGTGGCTCACACAAAAACACACGTGGACCAGATGATTTCAGGAAGTGGAGTTCAGGACTAGGGACTTCATCTGAGAGAGGGAGTAGAGGGAGGCAACAGAAGAAAAGAGTCCAGTGGTGGAAGCTGATCACAGTTTGATGGACTGTCAGGATTAAACTACATCAGTAGTGATGAAACAGACATTCAGCCGCGGTCATGAAAAGATTCAGTTCAGTCATTACACCTGACCACAGACGGTATAACAGTATTGGGCGTAGCCGCCGAGACGTCCTCCGTTGGTTTATGGACCGCCTTTTTGAAGCCTGAAGCATTTTGCCTGTCGCCATCTTGTTTTTTTGTAACCGGACGTAACATATTTGGACAAGAGGGCGGAGCTAGCTAGCTTGGTCAGCAAAGTGCATCTGTAGTTCACATTAACTGTGATAGTAGCTGGGATGCTAATTTTGGCTAGTGACAAACAGGCTTAAAGAGGTGGTATTCTGCTTTTTGGCCTGTTTCTCTCCTTTATTCATAGTTTTCAGTCACGTGACATGTGCGGTGACCTGGAGGGCAAAACAACGACCAACATAGCGGCTCACACTGCGACTCCCCCATAGAGACGCCGCAAAAGCAGTCAAATTTATTTGGATCACCTTCCAACTTAAGAAAAAGAAAGATATGAACACAAACTGAAAGTGTTGGGTTACAGTATTGCTGCCGCTTTTACCGTTAAAAACCGCCAGGTCCCTGACGCCGCTCGACTGCGGTAATGTTTACTTTTACCTCTGGGGGAATCCCTCTCCTAACACAGCTCAGGCTTGTCTCCTCGATTAGTAAATCACACAACAACCATCCAGCATTTTGGCAACGCAAAAAGTAACAAACTCAAAGTAACAGTGTATCACTTGCATATTGGTTGGCAGGGAACGGAAATAACGTTTCATTGGAGTGTGACGTCACGTGAAAACATCACTCAAATGAATTGAGTTCTGTCCTTTTTGTGCCTGTAACAGGTTTGCAAAGTGAAAAAGCCCAAAGTGAGTTCCCATCTCCCACAGAAAACTCTGCTCTGAACTGAAAACTGCTCGTTTGTAGTCCAGCAGCTTCCCTGTGACATACAGGGATGAAAGCTAAACGCGCCTCATAAACGCTCGCCGAGCGGCGACTCCGACACGCCCTCAGAAACAGCGAGCTGCAGCACACAGCTCCCTCTCCCTTCCAAACACTAGCTACCCTCCAGGCAGTCAGTGGACAGAAAGTTGTTCCTGTGATGTAGAGACAGAGCTTAGTTAAAACTTTATGGATACAGATTAATAATCACGCTCTGAAACTCTCGCTGCAGTCCGTGTGCCGAGCCGGTCGGCAAACGTACGGCTGAACCCGAGCCGTTTACCGGCTTCTCGCTGACCCGCCTACTCTGCTTCTGATTGGCTAGTAGTCCTTAACTAGGAACTGAGCATGTGCAACTCCAACAAAGATCATTAGAGACAAGATGTATCACTCCATAGCTAAAACGAAGCCTTCAACACAGGCTGAAAAGAGGAGCTGCAGCAATGTGCAGTATGACAAAAATATAACCATGGAAACCTGCTCGGTAAACACCTGAATAAGTTGAGGAACCTGGAAATGAAGATTTTCAGCAGCGCTGAACAGAATTTACACAGAGCAGCAGATACGAGTCGCCTCTATCCTGATTGACAGGTCGTCCTAAAGCTCTCCTGCTTCCTGGTCTCTGTTCCTCTAAATGGGACCATAATTACTAAATGAACATCATGCTGTGTTGAAGAAGACTTGAAACTAGCGACTGAGACCAGAAACTCATCAGGGTGTTTACTGAGGGAATAAATCAGCTGACAAGTGGAAACAGTTTCTCACAGACTTCTATACAATCCAGGGAGTCGCCCCCTGCTGGCTGTCAGAGAGAAC